AAGGCGGTCATATGGGTGCGACCGGCAATATTCACAGTTAACGGAAGCACACCTTTGGTGTGGGACTTGTCGCCGACAAAACTGCTCATTGTGATCCCTGACGGAATAAGTTCGTCATTTGAACGGCGTAAGGCCTTCATGATGTTCAGGGGCATGATATTGACAGTAGCTCCACAATCGACAAAAACTTTAGAAACCGGATATCCCTCGATGTGTGCCGTTACATACAATGGCTTTAAATGGTGAAGCTTGGCAGATGATAAACGAGGGAACAATTCGGCCAAAGCAGCCTTTAGACTATCATCTTTTGTTGTTGGCTCGCCTTCAGCAATTGATACAAAATCCATATGGCCGGGTTCCTCAGCAACCACATCTCCATCGAGGAAATTTGGTTGAGCCGTGCTTGATTGAAAATCAGCAGGTAACACATGAACCATACTGATTTCCATATTATCCAAGACTGACGGGCCCAACTGGTCAAGACCTTCCTCGTTCGGTTGGTCAGCGACTACGTATTCAGTTATCGTCAGAGTCGGACAATGAGATTCTTCCGTCCCTTCTTCAATAATGTCACTCGGCGGAGCCGCTTCGGCCACTTGTTGGTTCTGCGTGACCGCCTCAGGTAAGGTCGAGATTGACAATGAACTTGGGGTCAAAACCTGAACCTGCTCCTGGTAATGTAGCCGAGCATCCCTAGTGTCAAGATAAGCATCCAGACGGGCAATACGTGCGATTTCATCGGTCGTAAGGCCGAAGAGAGAAACCGCCGAAAATACTTCAAAGTGATACCGTAAATACTGAAGGTCCTCCAGCGAGAAAGGAAGGTCGGCTGCATTGATATCGATGTACGGGTCGACTTCAAACCCAAAAACACGAGCTTCTCGTATGTGCTGGAACCTTGCTTTCAATCCGGGGTCTGAGGTCTTCTGGATGATCCGCTCGGCATCCGGACAAGTCAGGATCAGATCAATGGTGTCCTGGCATGCCTTCGGCAAACCATACAGATCGTTGGCCGAATGACTCTTATGAAATTCTCGCATATACTCTAAAGACTCCCCAAGGAATGGGGGATGCAAATTCCGTCTAATTTTGACCAAAGGCTCTTGCATAGCTAGCGGGGATAATTTGCTTTCGGCCTCTTGCCTGAAATGTTCAAGACGTGCCTTCATTTCCCCTGGTCGAATGAGAAGTTTGATCCGTTTATCAGCTGCTTCAAACATGGTCTCGACATCTTGATCGACCAGCCGTTTCCCTTGAGCCAACTCTGTCATAATTGCTGGAGGTGGTCGCTCCTCATCAGTGGCAACTGTATCCTTCGGCCGCCACTTAGGGGCCGAAGCTTCTTGGGCTACTTGTTGTCGAGCCATGCAATCTATCCGTTGATGCCGGCGTTTCTGAGATTTGGACAACGCGGTGTAAACGCCCCTCGAAGAATGGTATGTATACCAACGTTGATCTCTAGGCTCGGGAGGCTTGAAGGTCTTTTGACTCCGCGATGATCCTGAACTGCTAGAATTACGCTTATAGTAATCATCGTCATAAAATGAAGCATCAAAATCGAGGCGCCGCCTGACCGGGGGTGTCTCTTCCATCCGTGCTTTAGGACCGAGTCTCCCAAAAACCCCATGATGTTGGTTTTCATTGGCTATCTTTTGCCGAGTTACGGCCATGGGTTACGAAGAAGGCTTCTCCTCTGGTTCATTGTCGACCTTCGCTTTACATTTCCTGCACAGAACCGCCGTCCCACTATCTTCATCGGCGCTACACTCCGTCATAGATTTGACAATAGCGGGCCCCGTTAAGGCCGCAGATGGTTTATTTGAACGCAAATCGGCCATGAACCGTGGCCGAACATTCTAATTCCGCGGGCGTTGTGTCTCAGCCACTTCAGCCTTGCCTTTCCCTTTGTCCTTGGGTAGGTACGCGTCGACCATATTTACTGTTGCCGTGGGGAACGGATCAGTATCAACACTCATCCTCTTCTCGGGGAACTTCAGTTTGCCATTATCAATCCAGCTTTGGACGTTATCACGAAATACGACGTTTGTCGTGTGTTTGCTCGAATTGTGGTATTTGCAATACACCTTTCCTTTAAGCTCTTCGGCCTTAGGAATATTATGACCGGGCCGAAGCTTAATGATTCTTGCTGATAACAGTTGGTCAAAAATTGCGTCAGCCTTGGTGATATCAAAAGTATAAACCTTTGACGGTTTCGATGTTCCTTCAGTGGCCGAGCGACTTTTGGCTTCTCTAGAATCAACCTGAGTCAATGCCTTGCAAATGTATGGCTTATCTATTACTATCTCAGCCGCATCCACACTAACACATTCATCCTCGGTTGATGCATAATTGACAGTAGGGTTCTTGTAAATCGTTCCCCTAGTTGGAGTCTTCGAAGTCTTTTCCTCGCGGAGCAAATAATCATACTGCTCGACATGTTGGGCCAATTCGTACATATCCCGAAAATTTTCCCCCAAGAATTTCTTTTTGTATTTGACGTCAAGGCCATTCAAAGCAAGCTTGACAAATTCGACTTCGGGTAGGGGCACTCGACACCAATTCCTAGCCGATTTGAACCTGGTAAGATAATCCATTGGTGACTCATCAGATGCTTGAGCCATCCGTGCTAACGAAGAGACTGACATCTCCATCCCCGGCCGATAAAACTGCTCGTGGAACTTCTCGACCAACTCCTCCCAGTTTTGGATGGAATTAGGCGGGAGATTGATGTACCAGGCAAACGCCGAGCCGGTCAATGAAAAATTGAACAGCCGTAACTTGTGGAAATCACTATTAACATCTCCGCATTGCGCGGTGAACCGAGCCACGTGCTTCAACGAAGACAGGGACGATTCACCAGCAAAAAGACTAAAATCTGGGATTTTGAAACCCTTCGGGTATCCAAACGTCTCCACGTAAGCTGGGTACGGATGAATAAACTTGGGAAACTTCGGCCCTTTCTTCATAGCCGAGTCGATCATCCGCTGAACTTCGGTCATATCAACAGATGCTGCTTCGACCCTTTGGTCGGTCCCGTCTGACCTACTATTCGACCCTCCTCCCTTCTCCAAGTTAATTGTTTTGAGCGGGGCAGGAATAGGCTCGGCCGGTACAATCGGTACCGGGTTGTTTCTTGGTAAACAATGTTGGCGAAGCTCGAAAGGCCTGCTACCACCAACTTGACTAACCAGCATTTCAAGCAGCCTGGTTTGTCGATCATTGGAACTGAGTATCGCATCATGCAGCTTGTCAATGCCTCGACTAAACGTCTGCTCGATTGACCGAGACTGCTCGTCCAATCGCTTTCGAAGAAACGACCTTGTTGGTGGATCAGATCCTTCACCACCATCCTCGTCACACTCTTCCACTATCCCTTCAGTGAGAACACAGGTGTTCCTGTTAGGGATTTCTGGACCACAGAGTTGACTGCCGAGATTAACTTTTCTCTCTCGGCGGGTCGCACTCGTGGACTCAGGTGTCACGGCGCTATGGGGATTCTGCGCCTGTGGCACACTTTGTCCCGTGCTTTGATTCGGAAAATCAGCTATCGACTTTCCTATAGTGGTTTTCTTTTTTACCGATCGTGTTTCAATTGGCATGAACTTCGTAGTTTAGCACTAGGTCCCACTGGGCGTGCCAAAATGTTGACCCTAGAAACTACAAAGCCTACGTGGCGCGCAGGCCGAGTATATTCTAAGCTAACTACGTCCTTCGGTGATTGCGGGGCGTGCCAACTCGTCGGCCGAGGCTCGGCCGAGGAGTAAATTTGATGATGCTGTGTTGAGTCGCGCTACTGACTTCTGCGTCTTGCGATTGCGGCCGAGAAAGGAACACGTCTCGGCCTCTTGGGTTCTCGAGCCTGAAGACAAGGCTGCTATTTCTTACAAAGTTCACGAACCGAATTCGGCTTGCAATGTGCCGAGTGTAATAACTGTGACACCTCACCTCGCCGAGAAGGCTAATGAGATGACCTCGACCAACAAGGATTCGAAAACCCTTCTCGACCGAGACTTGGATAGGTAACCGACCGTTCTCGCCGCAGTGCTGTTGATGCCAACGGAAGATACTGCGAGACCGACCGACTCTACGGTGACAGAGCTATCTATGCCGACTTAAGATACCACCGGTTGCTTCCACAGTGCTGTTGATGCCAACGGAAGATGTGTCAGCGAAAAAGGAAAAGAAAAAGATCTCAAGTTGTGAGAGTTTGCGCAGGGCAAATTTGTATTGATTTTGTGGTCCTTTTCCATTGCTGAATGTCTTGTATTTATAGTAGCAGAACACCGAGCCCGAGTTCCAATCCTATTCGAACTAGGTTTCCCTCTCCGGATTAACATTACCTTGATCAGTCCTATCTCTGCTAGGACTACGAATCTAGTCCTTAACTGAGCCGGATTCGCCTTCTAGTTTTACTGATCTTGTCGAGGGTCCCTATTGTATTAGGACTCGACTTGCACTCTGATTTAACCGACCTAGGCTTGGAAGCCCATGAGCTGAACGCCCCATGACCCTCTCGCCGTACGTCTTCCCGGGCCGAAAGTGATTCCTCCCTCGGCCCAAACTGTTATTTTGGGCCCAAAGAATATCACTTCGAATTATACTTCTCTGAAGGAGTTTTATGCCACATCTGCTGTTAGTGACATAAAGCAGTATCCTCAATGCTCCATTTTGGCCACCTTCTTTCGTCGGATTTGGTTATTTTTCAAATTTTTGTTTTAGTTGCCTTTTTTATGGGGTACAAAGTTCAAACGTAATGATGGCATTTTTGCACAGTTATTCCATAATGCTCGAGTTGTTTGAAAGTTGTAATGAGACATTGAGCACTTCGTTGTCAAGACATTTAGGGATGCTGATATTCTCTTGCAAACAGTCTTTTCCCAACATACAATTTTTAGGAGCACTCCTTGTATTAAATGCTGAGTTATATTGAATCCAGTGGTTTCAAATGAAAAAAGAAAGCAATTGATTTACTCACATGTACTTAACTCGTGTGAATGTAGGTATCCCATCAATGAAACACTAAATGATGAGGACAAGTCAAAACTGATGACAGCTTTATATTTTCATCCCCATAGAATGCATAAGATGGGATCTGGAGTTTAAGACATAAAGGTACATTATCTTGATTTAGATGTACGTTTTTGTGTTCACCAGTTTTATGCATATTAATCACTTGACAATACAAAAAGTGCTCGCTAAATACATTTAGCTGTTGCTGGTTTAAGCGTAAAGATGCTTAGCAATGACATTTTCCAGGCAATGCACCTTAAGTGCCAATCAACAAAGACCTAAAAAATGCAATTTCAGTGGGCATTAATTTGCTAAATACATTGCCAATTTAGCATCCATTCTACATTAGATAAAATTGATTATTCCATCCTTTAGCTGCTATATAGTTTCATGATGATTTTCTTTCCTATCTTTTATAGGTCGGTTCTCACCCTAAACATGAGGGCGCACGCTGCTTTATGGTAGTACGAACAGATGGAACAGTTGAAGATTTTTCGTACCACAAGTGCGTGATGGGTGCTCTTGATACTGTAGCACCTCAGAGGGTAAAGAGCTACCAGTCAAAATGGTTTGACCATGGACCTGAATAAACCGGTCCATATCATGTATATTTTCCGGTGTCCAAGCATGTACAGTAGGTGTAGATTAGAGAAATAAGATCTTCAAAATGGACCCTTCACCTTATTTAGCTGTGGATGTTTCAGAATCCGAAGCCCCCAAGAATTTGGATCAAAAGTTACTGCCTGGGCAGCACCGGCGGATAAAGTTAGTATACATGAATTTTGCTAGTCTAACTATACAAAGGGCAGCGACTCATCTCAAGGAGACGGTGTTTTGAAGTTCCGATACCTTTATCAAAGCTGCAATCCTTGTTCATACACAGGCTTCTCAGGTACGAAATGAGCCATCTCAGATCGGTTCATTGCTCCGTCCCAGAGTAACTTGTAAGGGAAACAGAATATTTCGAGCTTGAAGAGGGGTTGGCGAAGTCGGCCATTTTTCTCTTTTTGCTTTTGTTTTCAGGTCTCTGTGGCTCCAATGCTCTATGCTTCCTTTCGCTACTTCTATTGGAACTTGTTTGCCGTACATTTAGAAACAGGCAGAAGAGATCTAGTGGAAGTAGCAAGGGGAAGCTGGCACTGGATTTAAGCCCCCCTTTTATTGTTGTAATAATTTGATAAAACAGAAAAATGTTGTGACAACTTAATCAATCGTGTTTTTATATGTATTTGTTTTTTGAGTTTTAATTATAATTCAATGTGGTTATATTTTTGTACTACATTTTGATACTGCATGATGCGCCAATGTTGTATATAGTTATTATTCAATGAGATAAAATTATTAAGGGTAAATCGCCGATTTCCCCTTGAACTTTCACTTAACTTTCGATTTACTTCCTAAACTTTTTAATGGAAAAATCAATGACTTAAACTATTTTATTTGGCCGATTTCACCCCTACCGTTAGTTTTACATAGATTCTATCCAAATTAACGTAAACTCTTATCACGTGCACACAACGTGACTCTTTTGAGGACAAAAATGTAACTTTGCTAGACCTTCAGAAACAAAAGTTATAGAATCACACAGATTTGCATAGGTCAACATTCAAAACGTCCGAACTATCTTCACATGTTGTGCACATACTTTCATTTAACATAAATTTGGATGAAATGAATAAAAAACTAACAGCATGGAGGAAATCATCCAAAAAAACTAGTTTCAATCCTTAATTTTCTAATTGAAAAGTTTAGAGGGAAAATCAAAAGCTAAGTAAAACTTCAAGAGGAAAATTCGCAGCTTACTCAATTATTAACTTGGCATGCACATGATACATAAATGTGATATGAGCATGGTCTAAAATATCCATAATATCTCGATATTTCCATCGAAATTTCCGTGTTTTTGAATTACCGATATTTCCAATATCATCGATATTTTAGACCTTTCTAAGTCACACATGTATCTTACCATGCAATGTATAAAGTGTAAAATATTGTACTAATTCATTATATATAAATGATTATGGTGTGTTTAAATTTCTTTCAATAATTACTACATATTTTCTACACTCACAATGTTTGCCAGCTCACTATATAATCAACTTAAATCAGTTATATCTATCATGCAATGCATTTCCTTCCAATTTTTTGTTATAAACTAATAGATAATTGACTAAATAAACATCCTGCAAAATTTCAATAAAAATTTCCAAGTTTTTCTTACAATTTCCGTGGATTTTATATTATCAATTACTTTACTCCTCTCGTATTTATATCATTATAATATCCTGAAATAATTTCCAATCGCACATATATATCCGTGGATATTGTTTATTTGCGATCGCTAGGGCTTACTATCTGGGCACATGCGGATTTCCGATCTCGAGTCGGGAATACAAACCGACTTGTTAGTATCTGTGGCGATGATGGGTGCGCGATGACTAGAGCGATTATCAGTCAAGTTAATTTAACCCATTGTATTTTCCTACTATAAATCGTGAAGTGTTTCACAACACAACTCATAAATACATAAACAAAGAGAGTATCTTAAAATTGCGCTGAGTATATTTATCTTATATATAGTGCAATCATATACATAATGTGGTCGTATGGTGTAACAGGATTAAACCAAGAGAATATTAATATTCTCTTATGTAGATTGAATATAATGACCATTGATGGCTTATAGCGCCCTCAATAAATAAAAGAAATATACGGTTCAGAGAGATAACATGGAGTATGTGCCACGAGGCGCGGCAGGGTACAACAACCTTTCTCACAGCCGAGAGAGATAGGACATCTGTTTCGTGAGTATGGGTGAGGAAGAGCTTTAAAGATCTCTGAAATCTCTCTGATGACAATCAATATATAGCTATAATATATATCCCATAAATTATAGCCATATTTTTATCAACATGATTTAATATTATTTAGGATTATTTATGTAAATATGGCCTAACTTGAATTACACACTCAAATTGGTAACCATATTACAGGTTAATTAGCGCGAATGTGTGTGTGATGAACAAACTTCATGACAAACCGCGCAGAAGAATGAGCACGACCAGAAAAACGCCCAAGATGTGATTCATCTTAGCTTTAGGCCTCAACTTGTGAAGCTTTTAGATCCTGTATCTCAGTATGGTAGTGTTAATTGAAGAAGCAAACTAAACTCTCCGCACAGCACATTTTTAAATTCTCATAATACTTTATATATTATTAGAGAAATGGTGACCTTATACCACTGCCGCGAGATGGGGCAACCTCTGATACGAGAGTGGTTGGGCAATATGTGTCTATAGTTATAATTCTACTCTAATCGGTATCACGGCGGTGAGGGGGGAGATGAGTGGGTGGAGCCAAGAAGCTACGCCTAGGACGCCGGACGCGAAGAGTTGAGAAAAGCGAAAAGATCTGATACATACGCATACATACCTATGCAGTTTCTCAAAACAAATAATTTCTATGATAATGGTATCATGATGCCAACATTTCGCGTGATTAGTTGCGTGGTTTGCTTTAAATTTAATCTCGCCTCATCGATGTAATTCCTCTCTACCTTCACAATACTTTAGTCTCAAAAGATTTCCCTCTCTCTGACTAATCAATGTAAGAGCAGGCTACTCTGCAAGATCTCTAGTGGCCAGTGGGACCCGGGAACGATACTTCAATATATAGCATAATCATCGCGAGGTGTCCATCTTCTATTAAATCTCATACACGGATAATATGGTGGATAGTGTTTTATAGGTTCCTTCTGTAACACATACCAAATATATGGACTGCACGATACAGAAAAATCAATATAGTGACATTCTGCTAACTTCATGATATATAGTGTAACTCAACGTCACTCTCACCTTAACCAATGAACACCATCTTCAACGCAGTACTCTCTGAATGACTTCACCTCACATGAGAGACAATACATGACTCAACTGGTGTAAACTCACAAAAATTTTTCATCTTATAACACGTGCCCTTTAACTCATTATGTTGGTGGTGCCTACACAATAGTCTTGATAGTTTTATCCGATATTTTGGCTTCATAGCATCCTCAATCAAGTCATATATAATATCACTAGTGCTAGTTTGTGCGCCGTTGGCAGATGATGCCTTCGAATAAGGATAGGGCCCATTGAGTGTGTTATTGTAAATCTCGTCATACTTGTCTCCTCAGAGGCTGGCGTGTCTCCTGGACTGATTATGCGATGAATCATTGAGAAACTTATGGAGATGTCCCCAACATTATTACCTAGTCATCATAAGAAGTCCAATTACAGTATCTCGACCAGCAAAATATGCTTCATTTATCTTCCGACGTGACTAATGTTACTCTGGGCCTTCGTTGTCATCGATAAAGTTATAGATCTGGTACCTACGTAAGTTTAAATAGTGGTAGGCCTTTCAGGACTATCTGCTCTTGCGAATTATCGGTAGTCGGGTCAGATTAAGAATGAATATTTATTGATATCTCCCAGCAAGGTGCAACGAACCTCTCTCTGCGGCGAACTAATAATAACTCTATATCTTTCTTGTTAGCGTTCTCCAAATGCTGTGGCATATCTATATAATGCTTTGCTCCGTCTATAGAACCTCACGCTACCAAGTATCTGGACTGTCTCCTCTAAATATTCCATATACGGCAATACAACAATTATAGATAGTGAGTGAATAATATTACGACGCAGAGAGAGAATTAATAGCTTGCATTATATTTAAATGTTATCACGCCGTTAGGACCGTAATTCTAAAGATAATATTATTTTACGTTAAAACACGCAGATAAGTCTGATGTGTGGTTGCGATTTAGAAGTCAGAGACATCCCAGAATATCTAGAGGCTATTGTAGTGTGGGTGTCTAACTCCTGACGTCTTTCATATGATTGGACATCATTAAGATAGATATATCGATAATAGTTCTTGCGAAGATAGTCAAACTCTCTCCGACAGGAATGAATCCTGTGGAGAGAAAGTGAATATTAGATGTGAAGAAGTATATTCCAAAAGAAGTATGATAATTAGTAATGATGTATAACATATATGAAGTGATGTCTGTTAACCGTATAAGATTGTAATGATGAAGTGCCCAGAGAAAGATTCTCAATTGGGTGCAGACATTTGAGATATGACAACATAGAATAGGAGTGTTTAAGTGTTGTCGCACCATTCGTCTGGCCTACCCAGATTGCTTCACATGTCATATAGTAGAAATAAAGTATGGTGAATACTGAGCATAGAGACAGCCGTTAAGCATAACTACTAAGATATTGAGGTGGTGTCACTCAGTATGGCTACGTCTATGGGTAGTTTAGGAGGCAGTTGCTGGGCATTGACAGTGCTGAAGGCGTTCTATCACATTTAGCTTATCATAAGGTGTGCCTTTCTCAAGCTTTTCTTACATTTGTGGGTACGTTAGATAGCAAAAATGATCTCCTACGTGGTACCGCAAATGACGCGATTCGCGCGGAAATCATGTGTGAAGAGAATTGAGATACATCTATTTATAGAAAGAGAAGATTATCATAAGTATTCATTCTTGAACAAATTGACACAGATTGCTCGGCTTGTTGTGATTGGCTTCTGCGTGTTGAACGTTGTCCTGGCGCCCCTCTTCAAATGAATTGGCTTCTGATGTTAGACAAAACGTGTGTGGTCACGCGTTGGGGGCTAAAATAAAGGCGGAAAAATAATTTGGCTCCCAGATTGTGATTGCCTCTGGTTTGGCAGGGATAACCTTTCTAGGTCTCTTGACTCAAGGAGTTAAGGGAAAAAGGAAGAGATTCTTGAATGATTGTTTAATGCGTGGTCAGACGTGCTGTTCCATTCTTCCATAAAACCCCCAAGGGGGGGGGGAATTTGGGCGGAAGTATAAACGAAAGGAATTGAAACCGTGTTGCTCTAATAGGTTTCAGTGTGATGGTTCTAAGTTATTTGGTACAAATGCAGTGGCTCCGCGCGCCTTAAGTTCGCGCGGGGGCCGTGAGCTCGAGCAACAGCTCACAATCGGGGTTTGGGGCCGGGACTTATTGTAAGATCCAAAAACCATTTGAGTATCATATTTGATAAAACTTTCTATAAGTATTCTGACAAGTGTAGAAGTAGTCGAGTGTTTCACTTGCCTTATCTGCTCCTCCCATACGTAGCATGTGGCATCTTCTTTGGGAAGTAGGCTCTTTCTCCATTCCGGGGGTTGGGGCTGGATCG